GAAGCCTCTCACCGCCCCTGAGCCTCTGGCCTGTACCCCAAATCTGTATGTACAAATAAATAAATCTTAAAAACAAAACAAAACAGGATTTACAAGTTGTTGCATAGACAGAAAATGTTAGTTTACTTTTTCCCTCCTCCCCAAAAGAATGTTAGCTTCACATGAGAGCAGAGATTTTGCCTTATTTAGTTCTGCATCCTCAGCTTTTATTTTGCCCACAGTAGGCACTCAGTAAGTATTTGTTGGAAGTGTTAATTGATGAAAGTGGTTAGATTTTGAGGCTGAAAGTCAAAGGAAATCCATCCAAAATTTTATAGCTAATGAGGGGATAATAGACCATGGGCTTAGGTTAAGTTAGGTTAGGTAGGAGGGAACCCTAGAGCAAGATGAGACCAATATTCAAGTCTGACTTTGTCTAACTCTGGGTATTGAAACTAAGGTTTTCCTTCATAATTTATAAAGTAGAAATAACTCTTTAGGTCATTCTGAGATTAAGTCAAGGTATATGTAAAAGGCCACAAAAAATTAATAAAGGGTATACAATCACATATCATTAACTTTTACCTCAGTACATTTATCCATCAGATGACAATAAAATGAGTCTATAAAAGTCTTAGAAGAAAGAATCTTTAGCTAAAGATTTAAGTACTAAAAATATTCAACCCCAGAGGTACCACAGACATAGACTAATTTTTTCCATCTGTGCAGTTTAGGGTAGATTTGGCATACGCTCAATACCAAGTAAGAAAGAAACTATGGTTTAGGCAGCTTTTAAAGTTAAAAAAAAAAGAAAAAAGCAGAAAAGGAAACAATTTCCTTTTATAAGCATGACTGTAAAAACAGGGAAAGCCTTCATTGAGTAATTCACCACTGAGGCAAGACTATTTGATCCAATCCTCTCTTACTTTTCCCCATACCCCATTTCTGTCCTAATTAGTTGTTTTATATATCATGATTTCTGCATTTTGGTTACTTCCTTCTCCCCAAAGAAAAGCAGTATGTGACTCAGAGTTCAAAAGAGCAATTCTTTGTAGGGTAATCTCCCTAAACTAGCAATCTTTAAAGACCTGGTTTCAGAGCAGAAATTAAGCAAAATATGATTCTAAGATTAAGCTCTATCCAAGATGCTTCCCACCAAAGCCTGAGTTTGTGGTGGAGAAACTCACTTGAAGAAAAAAGACAAAGTACCAAAAAAAAGGCAGAGTGGTTGATCTGATGACTCACTGCCCTTTTCTTGAACTTCAGGAATGACAAGATGGAAGGGGGGCGGGTCAGGCAGTGTTGCACTGCAGACCAGATGTTCTGCAAAAAACAAGAAATTCAGGGATGTTAAAGATCTATATATGTTCTGAGGATAAATGCAACACAAATGATTTCCACGGTCAAATCGTTCAGTCAAAGACTTACGTCATCTAAGAAAGGACACTAGGAAAACTAAACTTGATTACTTTTCTGTCTGAGCTATCATCCTACATCTGTTTTATTCTGCTACTTAAAAATATCCAGGGCTCCACATTGATACTACTAGGTCAAGGCTAAATTTACAATGGCATGGAGTAGTCTTCATGGTTCCAACCTACCAGGCTAGCTTCAACGTCTAACAAAGTTTTATTACATATCTTGGAAAGTGCAAGTGCACTTACAATTTCCCAAATAAGCGAGATACTTCAAACTTCTGTCCATTTGTTTAGACTATTATCTCGGACCAAAAACTGGCCAAAGTCCTGTGTTGAAAGTCTGGCTTAAGTATCATTTCTTCTTAGTAGCAAGTTCTCATCTCCCACTTACTATTCAGCCTGACTGCTTTTCTCATTTATGGAGCCGTTGAACTTTAGTTTCCCTTTGTTAAATCACTTAACCTGATGCACTAGATAGACTCTGAGGGCTCTAGTGTCTCTGCAATTCACTGCCTACTCCACGGAGGCAAGTGTGAGCCACTGTGCAGTCCTTGTTCCGAAGCAAGGTGCCTGAGCAAGGCAGCAGGAGGTGTTGCGTGAAGCAACTTGCATCATTTCCTGGGATGTAACTTACCTCCTGCCTGACCCAGAACAATCTGAAATGTATAATAGCCCATATCTTCCTGGAAGTAGGGCTCAGCCTTTGAGTGAAGATCCACTGAGCCAAGTACCAATACAGTTGGCCTCGGGGTCCTGGATTCCTTTGTAGCACATAACAGTTCCACTGTACAAGCCCAAAGTGGGCTTGTTGAGTAGAATGTTAGACAAGGACCAAAGCACAAATAGATTTTCTGGATTAGAAAGTGTATGATATGGCTCTCTCTGGTGGCACAGCGGGTTAAAGCACAGCACTAAGACGCTAAAGCCAATTCAGCATGAGTTCTATCCCCGCCCTGGAGGTGACCCACATGGCGCAGCAGACCTCTCCTGACCTGCCTGCTGCTCCCCTCAGCAGTATACTTCTGTCGGCCTATTCTGCTTCCCACTCTGTCTCTGGTGAATCCTCTTACCACTCTTGCACCTCTGGCTTGTACCCCAGTTCTGTATGCATAAATAAATAAATCTTTTTTTTTAAAAAAAGAAGAAAGTGTATGATAAATCCTCATATGTAACTCACTTGTGATTTTACCAGAGTGCATGTAGTTTGCTTTTATTAAAAACCAGTCATGAATATATTTCTCTAAATAAAATATTACTGATCTGTCTTTGGCTTAGAATTGGCTTTTCCTAACCCAGTTAGCCAAATGGTAGATGAATTGTTTGAAATGTTCTCCACTGAAGTGAAATCACATTTGGGGCTTGCTTTAGTCAATGCACTTCTGTGTTACTTTTGCTCTTCAAAGAGCCTTCAGTCAACCATAGCCTTTGAAGGCCTGTGCAGAACAGAAACCAGATGAACTCTTTTGAATTTTAAAAATGTCATATTCTCTACTCTAGCATTAAACGTTTCTTCTCTAATTAAACATGTTAACTGAATAAGTAGTATCAATCTCTTCTTTATCTTATGTATTCTGTCACCTTATTCCAGAAACTGTTTTAGGAGGTTAAAGAACAAAAAATAACCCAAATCTAAAGTAAATTGTCCCACACTCACCCCTTTGATCCTTCTAATGAGACCATTAGTGTAAAAGACTGAGGAAGTTACCCAAGTACTAGTAATAGAATTTCCTAAGGCATTTTTTTTTTTAAAAAAAGATTTATTTATTTATGCATACACAACTGGGGTACAGGCCAGAGGTGCAGGGGCAGTGAGAGAATTCACCAGAGACAGAGTGGGGAGCAGAACAGGTAAGTTGACTGACATACACTGCTGAGAGGAGCAGCAGATGGTTCAGGAGAGGTCTGCCGCACCATGTGGATCACCTTGGGGGTAGGGATTGAACTCATGTTGAAGTGGCTTTAGCTTCCCAGTGCTGTGCTTTGACCTGCTGACCCACCAAGGAGGGCCTTCCTAAAGCATCTTTTATCTTTGTCTATACCTAATGAATCTGCCAGTGTTCACAGGTCATGCGTACCCAACAGTGAGTTTGTTTGACATTGAAATCAGTCATTTGGGCCCTCATTAGGGCAAATAACAAGGTAATTCACTACCCAGCATGTGTTCTGGATAAATAAAATCATAGCTTATCAGTAGCTGAAGGTGTGCAGGGTTTGTACAGCATCAAGATTGAATGGAGCCAGTCTGTCTGAGTTTGAGTCTGATGTATTTCTGATCAGATGCCCATCCCAATGACCCTGGGCAAGGAACCTCATTATGCTTCAATGAAGAAGGCACCCAACACGTAAGTTTGCCATATGGAATTAAGTGATATGACAGTTTCTGGCACATGTTAAGAACTCAATAAATGCTAGCTTTAATACTGCATATTTTTATTTAGGTAAGAAAATTGGATAAATAAAAAATTTAAAGCGTGGTCCTTTCTAGAACAAACTTTATTTACAAAACCACAACTCAGTCTGCTTTGGTATTACTATTGACAAAATGCCCACCACTGAGATATTAACTAAGGCAATGCATTGATTTCTAGCTTTACATAAAAACAGAATCCAACAGTAATACCACCAGTTTTCTATTCCTGTGTGGTTCTAAATGTAGCTTAAAAAAAAAAATCTTTATAATATACAATGGTTTAAATAAGTCACTTCTTTATTTTTTTTACTTACGGGTTAGGACTGATACTATACATCTAAAATTTATTGTTTACAGAGAATGCCCTAGAGGATACAAGGTTTATTTTGTCTGGCTTTCATAAAACACTTCCTATATGACTTTAGTAGAAAGTAAATAAATAAAATTGGTAAACAGTATGTATCAAAAATTTTCTGACAAATTCAAGTACCTAATGTGCATACCTATGCATGCCTTTTAAATATGCATGGTTTGTATCTACATCAGTACTAATGCCACTTATTCAGAAATGTAAAATTAATAGCACCTAGCATTTAGTTATAAGAAAATCTTTTCCGGTCTTAGAAAGTAGATGAGTAACATATAAAAGAATCTTTCCTTATCTGAATTTAAGACAACACCTACACTGAACCGAGAGGTGCAAAGAGGAAGAGAAGGAAGTGGAAGTAGGAGAAAAGAAGCACATTGACTCAATTAAACTTAGGTCATTAATTTGAGACCTAAGCATACGAATAAACCAACAAATGCCCAATTTTTCTTTCCAAATAAAGCAAGTACTGGAAAATACTAACAAATTTAAAGTTGAGTATTAGTATACATTTTAAATAGGAAAGAGTTTGAATAGCCTACATATCATAATCCAGTTATCTAATACACTCCTCTGCTGACATATCCAGCACATCTTCATCTGCAGTTTCTTCTATCTCTGGCAAGTTGCCCCAAAGTAGGAAGTTTATACCTGAAAATAAAAGGTCATAACATTATTTAGCCCTGCCTACTGTTACCACTGAGGAAATAATAAATGAAACCTTATACATTAATATTCTTTAACCATAGCATCAGCCACAAAGCGAAAGCTATTAAAGAATCTACCACAAATAAAATTATGTAACATTTACATCTAGAATATAAATTTTCCTCAAATCCCTTTAAACAAAGGGCTTGAATTTTAGAAACTTGGAATTCAAAAGGACCTCAGAAGTTACTCAAACTCTGCTCAGCTACATTGTGCTATAACCACTCTTCAGTGATCATTTTTTTCTAATCTATTTCAATGACATTTAAGAATGGATCCTTTAAGAAAAGATCTCACAAGATCTTTTTAGATTAGTTGTTTCTTTGGAGTATGCAGAAAGAAGACCTCAGTAAGTCATCTCTTCAATAAACATGAAAGTAGATGGTGTTTTCTATCTGATTTAAAAAGCCAAGTTTTAGAGCCAGTATTAATTTGAATAGTAACCCCTGATAAAGATGGGCTTAGTCTAGAGGGTGTCAATAAAGAACTGTAAACTTTAGGACCAGGTTGTAGCTATCAATGCAACAAAACAATCTAAAATCTCATTGTGAAAGGACAGTCAGATTTCTTATTGAAGAACCCGATACAGGTATGTAGCACAAGACCACAAACATGGTAGAGGCAAATGAAATCATTTAATCTAGGCATGTACTATATCACAATGTGAAAGCTCTAAATTGAAAACTACCATTGCAAGTCTCAAGTTGCCCAGCTGTCAGTGTGGACACAAGGAGGATTTAGTAACTCTGGATACCTACACACACAGACACACAGACTGCATGGTGGAACGGGATGAGCCAGTGTTTGGAGATGTGAGTGCAAGTTCCGCTCTACCAGTATACCACGGGTGTTTGCACTACATTTACTACAAGTGGATAAGGCCACCGACAATACATATTATTGTTTTGTGTACTCTACCGGATGTCTGTATCTTTTCTAGTTTGCTTTTTTCACTCCATGTGAAATAGGTTTAGCTCATTTCTTTTTTACTTCTGTAGAGTATTCCATTGTGTAAAATAAATAATGACTATGTATATATATTGCAAATATGGCTCATCACTCCTCCCTTCTGCTGTCTACTTTGGACAGGTGACCAAAGAAACACTATAGATTGTACAGTGTTGAATAGTTGGAACTATAGAAACAAACTGTTTCATTTGAAATAGGAGAATCTAATCAGGCAACAAGTTAGCATTTACAGGATACTGGTGGGAATACAGAAGTACACGATAATATATTCTGCAATATTTTGTGTGTGTTTGAATTGTTTATAATAATAAAACATCCTCCACACCCAAGAATGAGTGGTCTCTGGGTCCTCCCTGCTGCCAGCAGATTAAAGCACAGGAGTATAGGAAGTAAAGGAAGCTAGCCGCAGCCTTTTCAGCATGAGTTCAGTCCCTGGCCAGAGAGGTAACCCACATGGTGCAGCAGATCTCTCCTGTCTGCTCTCCTCACCAGTGTACTTTGTCAATCTGCCTGTTCTGCTCTCCACTCTGTCTCTGGTGAATCCTCTCACCACCCCTGCACCTCTGGCCTGTACGCCAGTTATGTATGCATAAATAAATAAATATTTTTTTAAAAAGAATGAGTGGTTTCTGCCTTTGGTAATATAACATTGACTATCTGACAAGTTATTACGGAATCATTAGAACCTGAAAGGGTAAGTGGAGTCCATTCCTTTGAAAGTATTTGCAAACAAACCCTGGGAATTTGGACTGAAATTTCTCAAGTCTCACCAAGAAAGTTTTGGGAAATCAGGTCTACAGATGAAGGCCAGCCAATTATATAGACTTTTTTTGTATAAAGTTTGTGTATGTATTCCTTGGATGCTGCTGAGTTAGGTGACTCAAGGACAGTTCCAGTACCGTTAGAAAGTCTGTTTTATTCAAAGCATCTAGAAATGCTTGCTTTAAATCAAAATATCAGGGTCACAAAAAAGAAGTCTGATATTTTTGGAGTCAATACTCAGAGACACGAGTCCCTCAGCACAATTGGTTCAAAGGACAAAAAACAAACTAAGAGACTGGATCTGAGAGAAGCAGCACCTTCCTTTCTCTGTTAAGAAGGGAGGAAGGAAATCCTGTGATCCATCTGTTTCTCATGGATTAGATTCAATGCAAATGGAAGAATGTTGGGCTTTTATCTTTTAAAAATTGACCAATATTAAAATCAAAATTGAAAAATCTCCACCCTGTGTTTTGAATTCTATGAAGCAGGAAAAATAATATCAAAGCAGAAACTTCCTTTAATGTGTCCCATGAGTAACACAAACATTTCTGGAGGCCTACATGAAGAGTCTACCTCTCAGTTAGAGGCATTCAGGACAAGTCCTTGCTCAAAAATGGCCTCCTGAACATCCTGGAGTCTTAAATTAAGACACCCAAATAGTAGGTTGAAAGCCACAATTGAACACCAGGTGATAAAAAAAAGAAAAAAAAAGTTAGAGTCTATAAAAACCAAAGCTTAATTGAAGGGTTGAAAGACCCTGACAACCTACCTTAAAACTCATGACCTTTTAGTCTATGAAGGCACATCATACTTTTAAAAGAATGCACATGTTTTAAGTTCTGAAGGAGATAAAATATACATTTTAAGATCTAAAAAGTGTTAGTGCTAACTCAGATCCACAAGTTCTTTAAAGTCAACATGATATGTTACATAAACAGAGATGAGACACATGCGTCTATAACAAAACTGAATGGTTCCAGACAATGCAAAATGTAATTATCTTTAAGGATTGTTTGTATATTTTCCCACTAAATAATTAGTACAGTATATTGGTACTTAGTGTTAAGTAAAATTGGCTAAAATTCCAAAATAATCTTTTAAAAGATTTATTTATTTATGCATACAGAATTGGGGTACAGGCCAGAGGTGCAGGGGGTGGTGAGAGGATTCACCAGAGACAGAGTGGGGAGCAGAACAGGCAGATTGACAAAGTACACTGCTGAGGGGAGCAGCAGGCAAGATAGGAGAGGTCTGCTGAGCCATGTGGGCCAGCTCCCTGGCCTACGGTGAGCACTCACTCATTCTGAAGAGGCTGCAGCCAGCCGCATAGTGCTGCGCTTTAACCCACTGCACCACCAGGGAGGGCCTCCAAAATAACTTAACATATAAAAATGTCTACTTTCATCCTGATGCAGTATCACCAAATACAGTGGTTACCTAGTTAACCTCTCCTGACCCACTAGTAGCCCAAACCCAGCCTCCCTTGCATGTAAGCACTTTCTTGCTCTCTCGTGAGAGCTCTCTGTCTCTGTCTCTGTCTCTCTCACACACACATACACACACAATTTGAAATCTAAAATTCTCTTGAGTCATCATATGTATCAAGGCAAACATTTAAAGCACTGAAAATATTAATTTAAGAAAACCAAGGAACTTAGCCAAGTTTGAGTCTCTTAAATACAATGCTGGAAACAGAAATAAATTTCTGGCAATTAATTTTGGCAGATGAATTTTGGTTAATAGCTTTCATAAGTGAATGTTTGGGGTAAAAAGGATTAAAGTTTCACTCTAGTGGACCCAAACTCAGGTAAGAAGGTTTTAGAGGGAACCTTGAAAGGATTTATTGGCAGTTTCACTTAGGTATTGCTAGACGAATTTAATTTTATGTATTATAGACAAAGTTTAGAGGAAGATGAGTCAGTTTTTTCTTACCAGTGGAGTCTAGTCTGTTAATACTGTATACCGCCTGGCTGTGAAACATCCAGAAATGTCCATTGTTGCAGGAAAGAAGGCAGGAACAACATGGAACAATCACATGATAACCTACAATGTTCCCACTAAAAAAGAAAGTGAACATTATTAGATACTATGAAATGCCTGGCTATGTAAGAATTCTATACACTAATGTGAATAGATTATATAAAGACGTCACTTCCTTGTAACAGCCTCCCTTTCTGGGATCACTGGGAGGGAAGTTATTCTGATAACGATAACCATTTCTATTGTCTACAGTCAATGGTCTTTGGGAAGTGAAATAATAACTAGCATATTCCCTATTTCTTTGCTAATATTATTTTATGAATTCTCCCTTCAGAAGCTTATGTCTAGATGACATAAGGTTGTGATTTGTTCTGTGAAGCATCCAAAAGTGATGTGCTGTTCAGACAAAATACATTAAATAAACTCAGGGCTGTGGGTAAAGGACTTTGCTATCCCCAAGGATGTGGCAAGTTGGGTTCTTAAATGTTCCAGTTTCATGCCAGCACCAAAAAACTGTTTCAACAGATGGAAGAGTAGGAAGACAGCATGAGCTCGTGCAAACCAAATACAAGCTGGCTGATCTAATTTTAGTTTTAGTGTTTTTGAAGGAATTTAGAAATAAAGCAAATCCACAGCTTCTAGAAAAAGTTGCACAAGTTTTTACTGTCTTCAGGATTAGCTACATAAGTAACTCACTCCTTCACTGTTTTTTAAAAAATGGGTCACTATCAAATAGAGTGACTATACAAGGAAAGTTTTAGTTAGTACATTAAGAAAAATGACAACAGGAATTGATGATAACTTGAATTATAAAAATTCCTATTATAGAGTGTTCCCTTCCTGTGAGATGTGAGAATCAGTCATTTTTGTGAGGCTCTATTTTAAAAAATCCTATAAAAGGTCCCTTGAAGTATCTTTTAATCATACTCTGCTTGGCTTAGACTAGGGCCTTCAGCTATTTGTAAGACTAGCTTGCAAAAGTAAATTCTGTGACTTAAATTACCATATCCATCCATTCACCTATCCACCCGTCCATCCAACAGTTACTGAACATTGAACATTGTCTAGTGTTATCATGGAGCTAACATTCTACCAAGGACACATCAGATAATTTTGTGCCCTTGTTAAAACCTCTTCAATGGTTTCCCACTGGTCAAAAGTGAATACAAACCCCTTTTCATATTACGGGCTAGATCTGTCCTTTCCAAAACAATAGCCACTAGCCACATGTGGTTATTGAGCACTTGAAATATAGCTAGACTAAATTTAGATGTGCTATATAAGTGTAAAATGTACACTAGTTCACAGACTAAGAACAAAAAATAGAAATGTGAAATTTAGCCATTAATACTTTATGTTGGTTACATGTTGAAATAATATTTTGGATATATTAAGTTAAATAAAATGTTATTAAAATTAATGTCATCTGTTTCTATTTTTTTAAGTGAGACTACTAGAAGTTTTCAAATTACATGTGTGGTTTGTTGCCTATTTCTACTGAACAGCACTGTTCTAGATTCTGACTACATTTCTAACTAACTCATACTACTCTCCAGGTGCTCATGTGTCTCAGTCACAGCAGCTGTCTTCTTTGTATTTATTGAACATGGCAAATTTCTTCTAGCGTTGGGTTCCCTGTGTGTGAAATATTCTTCCTCTGGTTCCTTTTCATCTTGTTGAATTCAGTTCCAATATTATCCTCCCTGACTGTGCTATCTGCAATAGCTCTTACTCTTCCAACCTCTATTATCCTCTATCACATATTATTACCATTGAGGCACTTCCCACCCTATTAAATATCTTATTTAAATACCTTATTGAATGATGGCCTTCCCATTAGAATATACGTATAAAGGCCCGTGACTTTGTCTTGTTTATTGCTTTATTTCCAGCCCTTACAACAATGACTAGTCATGGTAGGACTTCAATATAAATATAACTTAAATGAATTGAAACAATGTAATTAAATAGTCATTAACACACAAGAGGATTTTGCTAATTTAAATTACTATGATTACACTTTATAATTCAAATCCCATTTAAGTAAGAAAGTCTCACTTTTCTTCTCTCTAGAATGGGATTAATACCACTGAAATCTGTCTACCTCTAAAGATATAGTAATAAGTTTCATCCGTGTTGTAATTTTAGTTTATCATGACTTTTAACAGTCATAATTTATTTGATCTTCATAACAACTCTACAAGGTAAACATAAAGGATATTTAAATTTCTGTCTTAAGAAAACAGCTTCCTTTCAATCTTCTTAGGTTTCTATTTTTTTATGACACAAATTAAATAAGGAAACAGAAATGTAGGGGTTTAAGTTTACTCAAGATCATATAGAGAATAAAATAACCAAACATGGTATCAATGACTGTAAATCCAAGTGTTTGTCTTCTACATTGCCTTATTCTGAAAATTAAAGCAGATATTGGTGAATGCATTTTGAAAAACTACAAAATGAGAAACAAATATAAAGTATCACAACATCCTTTTGAAAAATAGCTTTATATTTCATATAAACAAGTGATTTTCCAGTGGCTCATTGCATGGGCTATAACTGTTGATGTAGCCCACTGAACCTTTTCTGTGCTTTGGTGTTAGCAGCCATCTCTCAGGCCCAAGGCTATCTAGCATACTGCCAGAAATTACCATTTTAAACATGCGATGTCCTTCAGTTTACATTTGCAGATTTCAGTGAAATAGCAACTTCCAATGAGATCCACTGCACTGGAAAGGATAAAGTGTAGATATTGTTAAATGGAATTTTTTAAAAAGTCACTGCAAAAAAAAAAAATAGCATGAAATTTACTAACGTAACCATATTAAACGTATAAGTAAGAGCATTAAGTGTTTTTAATTGTTGTGCAATAAATCACCAGAACTTTTACATCTTGCAAAACTGAAACTCTATTCCCCCTTTCCTTAGTCCCTGGCAACCACCATTCTACTTTGTTTTTGTGAATCTGACTACTTTAGATACCACATATAGTATTTATCGTTTTTTACTTATTTCCCTTAGGATATTGTCCTCAAGGTCCATATTGTAGCATGGGGCAATTTTTTTTTAATTAAATATTTCAATCATATATAAATAACACTTTGTTTATTCATTTACCTGTCAATGGATACTGGGCTGATTTCACCTCTTGGCTATTGTGACTAATGCTGTCAAAACCATGGAGATGCAAGTATCTCCTTCAGATCCTGAATTAAATTATTAGGCTATGGTTAAATTATTAAGTAACAAGAAGTGGGACCGACAGATTGTATCTTAATCCTTTTTGTTATTTTTTTGAGAAGCTGCTATACAGTTTTCAACTTAACAAATGCAGCATAGCAGCTGCACTGCATTCTCACCAAAAGTGTGCAGGGTTCTAATTTGTACATATCCATGACACCAAAATGGACTTTCAACTGCTGGGTAGTATGAATTTTGTAGGCCCAAAGAACTTAAAGAGAATCTGAGTGTATTTTTTAGGACTCAACTAATATTTTGTAAGTAGGATACAGTTCATATTTTTGAACTCACTATAAATATCCAACAAATCTTTCATTAAAAAAGTCTGACATGTTCATTGATTCACATACATCTTAGTACATTAAACCATCATCATTAAAGCCCCTATAAGGAAGAATAGACTACACAATGTCCTGATTTTATTCTAGATTCTGGTTTAATGTATAACAATTCATATAACTAAGCCTACTTATGACTATCTTATTATTTACCACTTATTGCAAAGATAAATGAGCTAATTTTTAAAAAATATTTATTTATTTATGCATACAGAACTGGAGTACAAGTGCAGGAAGAGGATTCACCCAGAGGCAGAGTGGGGAGCAGTACCAGCAGATGTACTGAAATACACTGTGGAGGGGAGCAGTGGGTGGATCAGGAGTGGTCTGCCAGCCATGTGGGTCACTTCCGGGGGCGGGGGATTGGACTCACACTGAAGTGGCTGCCATTTTAACCCGTTGGCCACCAGGGAGGGCCCCAGCTAATATTTTAAATTTGGATGTATGTGTGCCATGAAGAAGAAAAAGCACTATATGACATATCATAGGAACTCTACAATAATTGGCTCTAGATTAACTGTAGAGCTTTTTCTTTTCATAACACACCCACACATAATATACAAGCCCATTTACTTTGCAGTTAGTGAATCTTGGATTTATCATTAGATATGACTATTTAAACAAATTCAGAAAGATTTCAAAGGAGGAAGAGTCATCACAGCTATACTTAAAAATATCTAAAATTTCTATTATTATGATATTCATGATTATTAGCTTGCCTCCTATGACTCTGTCCAAAGAAAAGCTGTTCACCCATATTTTGGATAATTATTATTCTGATGATAAAATATTCTGTAAATTAAGTTCCAATAAAGAGGCAAATACTGAAAATCATGTAAAGTACATGATTAACTATAGAAAGAAAGCACCTTTAAAAAGCTAGGAAAAGGTAAAATTGAGTGAAACAAAAATGGCAATTCTTTCCAACAAAAAGCAAATGCTTAAGAACTATATACCCCAAGTGGGCAGTGACCGAAAACACAACTTCAAAGGATTTAATTATGAAAACAAGTGCCTAAGTTTACAAAATAGGCTTTATATTAGTGCCAAGTCTATTCTCATAAAAATCTCTGCACTGCTCTCATCGGGAGACTTCTGAAAAAAAGAATATTGAACTAAATGCTGATGAGAAATATTGGTAGAAAACCACAAGGTGTTTTTGTTTTTTTTAGTGGAAAACTTTATGAATAAAGAAGAAACCTTTAACGGTCTCTCCAACAATACGGAAAATCTGGCCTGAATTCACCTTAAGTCGCTTGGGTGAGCTGCGAGGTGGGCTGGGCAGAGCGCCAGGAATCCAACCAAAGGGATGTGGTCACATGACTGTAATTGAACTAGAAGCATGACATCAAGACTGACCGCTCCGGCCAAACCACAGACTTTGTCCAGACAGTCTGCCCACTTAGTTATCCTCCAAGGGGATCATTAGACTGCTGGGAGCGGCTGGAACACCTAAATGATAAGCTTGCTGACTCCCGAGCTCCACGCCACGCTCTCCCCTTGCCCGCCTCTGGCACGACTTACTTGGTCGGAGGGATGTCTGTAGAGAAAAGGTCTATTTCAGTATCAGCCAGCAAAACAGCCTTCATTCCCCTAGAGCTGAGCACTTGTTTACAGAATTTGCAACACAGGATGGACACGCACCGGTCCTTGAAACTACAACTGCTGGTAGACATGGCGCCGCGAAAGGAGGCGGTGTGTGGGGTTTTGAGAGTGGAAACACGGGCAATGTCCTTCCTAGTTTGATCCCTGGGTTAAAATGATAAAATCAGTTGAGAGGCCAGCCTGGCCTGGAGCTTTTTCTAGGCACCAAAACTGGGAAGGAAATGAATTCTTCTGTTTCCCTTAGAGGGTAAAAGCAATCTTTATTGGGTGGCACAGAAGCAGCAAACTTCCTTTCAACTTTCGGCGCAGGGAATGGGATTTGAGGGTGGTGGTGGCGAGCTGCACGGGCCCGGGGGCTTCTCTGCAGCGTTCCCCTCCCCGCGTCGGAAAGGACCCACCCTTGCCTGTCCCCGGCGCGGGCCCCGCGCACAGCGTCTCCTCCACGGAGGCCTCCCTCTCGGCTCTAAGCCCCAGCCCCCGAGCTCTCCAGCTCCGCTAGGATCCCGGCGAGGCGACCCTACCAAGCCTCCTCTTTGGAAAACTTCCTTCTGTTGCCAGGATTCAGGAATCGCCTCAGCTTTCCCCACAGGAACGAACCCAGGTTCTCCTCGGTCTTCCCGCGACCCTCCTCCGCTCGGAGGCTCGCGCCCCCCTTTCCTGTCCTGCTGCCCCTGCCTTCAGCGCGTTTGCTCTCGTGCTCCCCTCTCCTCAGCTCTCCCTCGAGCCCCCGACCGCCACCTCGGATCCCTCCAGGCGCGGCCGCTCTAAAGAGCTTGATGGTGTTGCCGGGGCGGGAGGAGGTGGCCTTTGGGGCTCAGTGAGCGCTGGGGTCGCTGTCACGGACCACGCCGGTTTTTGCTCCCTCTTCCGTTCTCTCAGCCTTTCCAACAAGCTGTCAGTTTGAATTGCCAGCGCCGCTCACCGATTGGGAGAACTAGAGTCCGCCCACGTCCCTCATTGGAAGACTCCGAACCTTCCCCCGATGAGGGCTTAGTGGCTGGGAGCTGTACGCCCCGCCCCATAACGGTGCGGAGATCAGATAGGCTTTCTTATTGGTCAACCTTGGTTCCGCCTCCCATTTTATTGGTCAGTTCTGGGAGTACCCTGACGGGCCGCGGAAAGGCACGCCCTTCGCGTTTCTCATTGGAAAGGGTTCCCCACCGGTCTCTACTCTCTATTGGCTAGACTTCTCCGCAAAGGCCCGCCTCTACTTAGATTCAATTGGCCATGGGATCTCTTAAGCGTTTGCGTTTGGTTGTTGGTGCCATCTTAATCCCGCCCATAATTCTACTTTAGGAGTTTACTGCGACCACGCCTCGGGAGTGCTAGTCACACCTCCAACTTTCGGCAGCCCCTCCTTATTGCTGTCCTCGCGGGATCAGCCATTCCTATTGGCTACAGTTCCCATCGGTCGATAGCAACCGGGCGGTGATTGGTAGGGGGGTGGGCTCTACTTCCCGGCGGGGTCCTGCGGAGTTGGCCCGGGCTCCTCCAGGGACTAGGGGACCGAGCTGCGTAGAAGCGGGTGGCTGGGAAGAGAGGGGCGGAGAGCTCTGAGAGGGAAGCGGAGCCGGGGGCCCGAAACCCGTCGCGTCAGAGCCAGGTAAAGGCTCCCTCCCTCTTCCCTTTCTTCTGCCCGGCCGCGGGACCGAATCCCCCACAGAACAAACGCTGGCAGGGGCGGGAAGCGGAGGACGCGGATGCTGCTCCGGCTTTGCCTTGGCGGAGCCGCCCGGAATCCTTCAGACCTCCTCCCCACAGCTCTCTCCAAACCTCCCAGAGCAGCCCTGAATTCCTCTGGACGGCGCCTCTCAGCGCTCCGCTGCCCGGCCGGGGCTCGGTCCTGGCTTGCGGGCCGCGACGCTGCCCGCACCCAGCCCCCTCCCCACGTCCTTCGCACGCGGCAGCCTGGGTCCACCCTTGGACGACTGTCGTTGCCATCACCAGCAACAGTCGCTGCCCTCCTGCCCTGTCTCCAGTCTGGCAGACAGCCGGCTTCCAGCCCAGGACCCGGGGAATGGACGAAACGCTTAGCTTCCGGGGCTCTTCCCGGGGTCTGTCCCCCGCCCGCCCCGGGAGGGCCTCTCTTCGCATTCCCAGACCCAAATCTGAATCCCCAAAGTTGCGAACATCCTTGCCCTTCACGTAACAGCGCGGCCCACACAGCCTCCTAACTACCCCCGCCCCAACGGGAGTCCTCCCCTAGCCTTCTCCGCCTTCCAGGCGCGAGCAGAGCTTGGGTTATCCCGACACCGTGCGGTCTCTCGACCCCACCTCACACCCCCCTCCCCGCTTCCTGCCCGCCAGGATTGCCAGGCCGCTTCGTCCCCCTCTTCCTCCCTGGGTGCAGCCCTCCCTCCGGCGCGGGAAGTGGGAGATACCAGCACGAGTCTACTCCCCCCGGCGCTGAAAGGGAAAGGGGCAGCCGGGGAGGGAGGGTCGCAGCTGCGGCGTGCCGGAGAGCGAGAATCCCGCTCTGCGCTCCGCCCGCTTTTCTCCCGCCTTCCCGGCTGTAGCCGGGGCCGGGGCCGGGGCGGGATCTCCTTGGGCACCTCCTGGTGCTGGGACTGAAGGCCGCGACCCTGCCGGACACCCTTCCCCGCCTGGGGTTGGGTTCGGGATCCGGGGTAGCCGGGCCTCGGTGAATAAAAATACTGGGGGTGGCAATTGGATTCACTCCTGTTCTAGGTTCTGGGGAGGCGACAGCAGCTTTCCGCCTCCCCCCACCCCCTCCCCGGTTTTCCCGACTCCGACCCTCGCCTCTAACCCGTTTCCTGCTTCTGCCGACCACATTGTTTTCCTGGATGTGTCCCGTGCCGAGCAGGCTTTTTCCTGCAGTTCTCCACCCCATTCCAACCCCCCCCCCCTCAACATTTTGCTGCCAAGAGAAGCTAGTAACCAAAAACAAAACAACTGGGAGGAGGGGCAGGAGGGGAAGAAAAGTTGTGCCCGGGTGACTTGTCCCTCTCCGGCTTTGATCCCCTTTGATGTCCTGGGAGTTGCCCCCGCCGGAGGTCAGGGGCCAAGTAGGAGTCAGGGCCGGGAGGATTCCCTCGGGCTGGCCACTGCCTGCTCTGGCGGGCCTCCGGAGGCCTCCTAGGTGCCGCAGTCCCCGCCCGGAGTCCCGCGTTCCCGCCGCAGTCCCCACCCTGAGCCCTCACTGCCGGCCGCTCCAAAGTGTTTTCTTCCAGTCTTAAAACGAAATCCAAAAGGAGCTTCCTTCTTCCCTACCTGGCAGCGCCCGGTTATGAGGGGCAGGCGGCATTTGGCTGAGATGAATGGGCCCAGGCCTGGCTCGCAACCACGTTCCCGACCCCACCCCCGCCGCGATTAGGATCAGTGTTGGGGCTGATCGCCCCCTCCCCTTTCCCCTGCATTTACAGGCAAGTGAACCGGAGCAAACGACTTCCGATCCCGTCCGCGCTGCTGCGGCTCCCGTTTGGGATTTGATTTGCAGCATCTTCCAGCCTGTGCAACAAAAAACCGCGAAGCACGCCCAGCCCTCCCCCGACACCCCGGTACGCACCCATTCCCTGCCGGGGACACAGCTGGGCGAGTCCACACCCCCGCATCCCCACACCATGTTGTGCGGAAGGACTTCCACTCCCTGCCTGTGTCGTTGATGTCAGACCCCAGGCCAGCCTCCGGGCGCTGCAGTTCTCCTGGCTAATGCTGAGGCTGCGGCTACGGCTCTAGTGCAGGAACCAGCTGCCGCTGCGCCCGGCCCCAGCGCCCACCGTCTGCATGTGCCGGCGGTAGCCGCCTGCCCTGCCCGCAGCCCGCGCTCCCCGGAGCGCTGGAGACCACCGCGGGGGGCCCCTTCTGCCCTCAGGAGAAGCGGTCTTGGAGGTATTGATCTCGGTGGTTGGATTTTTCCCGTGGATCTATCAATTCGCAATTTGAATTTGGAAGAAAGAAGAAAAACATGACGTCTCCGGCCAAATTCAAAAAGGATAAGGAGATCATAGCAGAGTATGATACTCAGGTCAAAGGTAAGGGCTTTGAAAAAATAGCGTAATGCATAAGCCCAGTGGGCCATTTAAGCACGTATTTCCACCCTGATTTGCAGGATGTTCATTTCTTTGGGTGGAGCAGGTGGGGTTAGGCTGACCACCAGGGGTGGCTTCATAGATGGATCTGAGCTTCCAAGGGCTGGGCTGTGTCAGGGGCCACGGGCCTTGGGAAGGAATTTTTGGAGTGGGCTTTAGATTTGACTCTGGGCTGGCCGTTATTTTGGCAGCCCTTTCCTCCTGTCTGGGTAAGGTGGGGGGAGGGGCGAAGGTTCTTGGAGAGAGAAAGGGGACAATTTGCTTCTGGGTGTCTAGGTTAGGTTTTCCTTGAAGGACAAGTGCAATCTGACAGGTGTTTGGGATTTTATTTCTGAGGTTGAAGGGGATTCCTGGCAGAGAAAGGCAACCTTGAGAAGGGGTGCCATTGGAGAGCCCTGGGCGAGGCAGGGGTTTTTCTCATGCACACAACATGACATGTACTGTGGCATCAGACACAGGAAGTCTGTAACCACTTGGATGCACCTGTATCCACCTGGTCGGTGGTCACCCTGCATTCAGAGATAAAGAGAACAGAAAGAATAAGGTCACTCACTTCCAGTCTCCTCCCTCACCTACACCCAGAGTGAATCGGGTTGGGATTTAGGATTGCTGAGTGGTGCTGATTCTGGAGAATGGGAAGACATAATTGTTTAACCCTCGGTAGTGTTACCCACAGCTCCAGAATTCATGCTTTTGAAGGCCCACTTCTGTCTGCAAAATTGTGAAGGGTAAAGCAAATTGTGGACCTCGAGAAACCAAATGACCTATCTGCATATTTAGAGGACTGCCTGACTTGACGGTGAATCAGTCCCTTCCTAGAGAGCCTTTCCTTAACCAGTAATTCCCTTAGGAGGGGTTCCTGCCTGTTACAGAGCCAGTGTGTGTCTGTGCAAGGCACTGTCCCTTCCTGGCCAGCCACTGGCAAGAGTCCTAAGGCTCTTGACCACTGACACCTCAGCTGGGGAGTGGGAGAGGTGGGTGGCCTTGAATGTTTCACCACATGGCTGGAGCTCTGGGTTTTCCTTTGTTTCAGAGTGTGGAGGGAGGGGCCCCTCCTTCTTTCCCTGCACCAATGCAAGGAGACCTTTCCTATCTGAGGACTTGGGAAGATCTAGATCTTCCCTTTAATGATTGCCTGGGGTGAGGGTAGGGGTAGAGCTTGAAATGGGCCCCAGTTTTTTGGAAGATTGGAAGATAGTTTGGAGGCCCCATTGTGCCTCTAGGATATTTTTAATGTCACTCAGCTTGGTCCCTGCTGGAGATGCCCCGAGGGATCTTCTATCTACTTGGCTGCAAATATTGGTGGGTTTAATACAGGAATGGGGGAGTTGACTGATGGATAGCTTCAGCTGAACTGGGGTTGGGAGAGGTGTGGTTCTGAGTTATAATTGAGGTCTTGGCTTCTTGTCACTGTTCATAATCTGGGCCTGTTTTTGTAAACAATGGGCCACTGGCCTTCGTGTCCTGTCCAGATGCACTGCATTCTGTTCTTGGAATCTCCCCTGCAGTTTTAACCAGATATATCATTCTTTTTTTTTTAAAACACATCCTATTCTGAACTGTTGCCATAGGGAGTGTTAATAACTTTGACTTTCCCAGATTTCTCTCAAGAAGCATGCCATTTGACTAAGGTGCAAAGTGATTTTACATGTTTATTTTTTGGAGGGTTGAGGGCTGGTAGGTGTTAATAGAATCATAACTGCTGATTCCTTATTGGTGAAGGCTTTCTCATGAGCCTCAAAATTAAACACTTTGTGTATTTACAAACATTGCTCATTGAGATGATGTAATGCACTTGACTATTTGGGAATTCTCTTTAACCTTGCCACTGGCAGGGGGCTCCTTTGCTTTGCTCTGATATTTTTCCTTTGATACTATCTCTTTGAGTTCATAGAATTTTATAGATGGTGGAGCATGATGTTCTACCTAGAGAAGGTGCCCGATGGATGGTTAAGGAACTCATTTGAATGGTTTAGTGCCTCATTTTACAGCTGAGGAGAGTACAGAGAAATGAAGAGGTTTGCCCAAGGTCACACAGTTATGTGGGTTAGATCTGAAAGTAGAAGCAGATTACGCAGACCCAGTCTTCTATCCTATTCTTATTTACTATGAAACATTGACCTGAGTAGGAAAAAGAAATCTTTAAGAAGCCAAAACCTGTCAATGAATAATAGTGACAATAGTAGATTACATTGTGGTTGCTCATTATGTTCCAGCCTGTCCTCTCCTCTGTTCTTTACAGGAGCTAGCTGGTTGAATCCTTATCTCAACCCAGATGTAGGTATTTTTCACTGTCCATTCATCACATGGAGAAACTGAGGCTTCCTGAGGATGAGAAGTCCTCCCAAGGTCACTAAACCTAGCCAGGCAGTTTGGCTCCCCACCTTCAGCCATCAGTTAGCTGTTGGGTGCTTCTGTGTGTTCTATTGGTGCGGAATTTAGCAGTGAAGGAGACAGAGCCCCTTCCTCATGAAGCTTCTGTTCTAGAACCTATGCTCTGCGTATGACAAAAGACTTGAGTTTGGGGTTGGCTCTGTTTAGCTGGAATCCCTCCGTTGCAATTAAGAGTTTCAGCTTTTTAAATGTTACATGGATGCACGGTGCTGCACATCTTACACTCTTACAGATGCCAAGATGAAAAGGGAATTTGCTTTTTTGGCTTCCTGGTTAAAAGGGCAGACTTTTGAGTCTAAGGGATCAGGTTTAAATTTCTGTTCTGCCACACACTTGCTTTGTCCCTTTGGCCACTGACAGGACTTGTCTGGCCTTCAGTTTCCTAATTTGTGAAATTGGCAAAACAGTATATTTCCTAGGGTGGCCGTGAGGAGTCAGCAACATGAACATGACGCATAACAATCCTTTAGCACAAGTCCTGGCACTCCTTAGTACTCAAGAATGACATGGTCAGCTCTGATCATGAGCCTTCCTCTTGCTGAGTTGGGCTAACCATTAGGGCCGCACTGCCTGACCATACCAGAGTACTAACTAGTAGAGACAGTGGACAAGACTAGGAATGGAACTTGAGCTCCAGTTTCAGCTCTTCCAGTAACAATGAAAGGTAGCTGGGGTCATTCACCCCAAGTCTCTAGACTGTGTTTCCCTTTCTGTAAAGTGACCAGGTAAACGGTCTAGCTGTTTATTTCTGTGTTTCTGACCAGAGTCCTAGATCCTGTTTTCATTCAGAATTAGCATCAAGAGGACTTTGTGGGACCCTGGCTAGCTGTGGTTTTGCCTTCCCCTTAAATCACCTGCTTGCGTATAGCCTGAAGGACTTCTAGGCTATAGCCCCAAACCTACCCCAGCGTGGTTTTATGAAGGGCGCGCCTCCTTAGACTGCCTTCTGCTGCCGTCTTAAAAACCATCATTGTTTTTGGTTTGTGGGTGTCTAGATTCCTCTCAAAGTTCATGCCTCCCAAAGTCTGACTTGAAGCAATAATATTCTTAGTGCTTTTACATAGTCTTTCATAGACCTTAGTCTCTGGAAATTCTTGACCATGCTGATCAGATTCATGGGCATAGCCTGAAGCCTCTTGGCTCTGGACAATTTACTGCTTTTGGGACTGGAATAACAGTGATAATGGTGTGAGGAAGGTATCCCAGGATCATCCTGCCCTTAGTCAAGGCCCCCTTTCCTTAGCCTCTTCTACCTTGGGTTTTTAACAGACCCACAGAAGGCTCAAGATTGACAGTTAATGCAAATATACCAGGAGGAATTGTCTGAGACAGAGTGGCACTGTGTGCTGAGCAGTCAAATTCTCTTTCTTGAGAACATTAGGGGTCTTGTCTTTTTTTTTTCTTTTTTTTTAATGTCTTAGAAGAACAGTGTGTATGTGCATGACAGAGCTGAGAAGTGAAATTTTGTAATTTCCATCTGGAGCATTTCGATAGAACAGACTCAGGCCTTTGCCTGGAGCAGTTTAACCCTTTCAGGGTCCTTTTAGAGAAGAAGATGAAATTTAACACTTGGGATGTATTGTGTGTACATGTGTACTTGGAAACACGGATTGCTGGTATTTAAACACACTTGCTCCCCTGGGACATCTGTGGGCTCTTCACTCATGCCAACAAAGGTCTTCTTCCAAGCCGTCATCATCCCAGCCCCCATTCCCTAAGGGAGCTTTAAATATAATCAGTTTGTGAAAAGCTGCAGTAAAACATCTCTTGGAATCCCCAAGCTGGTGTCATCTTCCTGCAAGATGATTGAAGGCTCTTCTGCCTTTGCTCAAGCAAAATAGGATTCTGCTTACAGTGCCTCCTAAAAGAAAAGGTCACTCTGGGAAAAATCTCAGATTTTCAGGATCTCAGCATGGTAAGATACTGGAGGAAGATGCTGACCAGGAGCTTGGGAGGCTTTGTGCAGTGCGAAGAGGCAGTGGTAAAAACAGAGTCCTTAGCCTTTCCAACTTCAGGTATTCCTTTGGGAATGGGAATAGAAATTTCCTTTGGTGAAACTCATCTGGTAGTTAGTTAATGGCCCCATGGTCATATGCCACACAAGTTGAAAGTGTGGATGAGCCCTGATCATTTCTCTGCTAGGAAGTGGACAGTCCTACCTGGCCCTCATAGGTCGCATCCACACCCTTTTAAAATCAGCAGGTGCCTGGCCCCTGACTCATCAGCTCCCACTGTTTGTTCCAGATAAATGTGGGTTGTCAGTGGCATCTGTAAAATTCTCTTTAAAGTTCAGATAAGTTTCCTTCCTGAAAATTGCACTTACCCAACACCTTAGACCTCTGAGGGACTCATTAGGAAAATATGTCTTTTGACGGGGGAAGTAAAGTCAATATGTAGATTTCTATTGGCCATAAAACTCAAATGAACAGTTTTAACATGGTGTCAGCTATGGAATTGGCCTTATTGGGGGGAATCTGGGAAAGTTATCTTGGAAGTTGATTTAAAAAGAAATAATGAGAGCACTTAAAAATGTTTTTGAGAATGGCCAA